AAGAAGTGCTTAGGTGTACCTCTAGCCTTTTAGAAGGGCGGAACCACTACACAATAGCGGAACAACTGAAATTCTGGGACGCTGGGACGTGAAAGTCATTCCATTAAATAGCTAGCGTCGAAGCGCGGTCAGCACTAGGAACCGACAAGCCAATCAAACAGCGTCGGAAGTGCAAAGTCACTCCGTGCCTCAAGTTTTTCCGTGGTGTGCTTTTGCCTTTTTATTCAACCAAACCAATAAAGTGTGTCGTGAAGTTGTGGTTTTAATCCACCATTGTGCAGGGATTGCGAAGCTGCCGACAACATAATGGGGTCTGTTGCGTGCATGTCTGTGTTCGTTTTTGTTCTGTTCAACTGAAAATAATGTACGGCACAAACGCATTTTTTTAAAGCTTGCTATGCATGTTACAGATGCGGAAACAGTTATGTGAATATCTTCTAGCTTCTGACGTTTTTATTAATGCGAGAGCCTTACTTGTTCCATTAATAAAAACAGCGTCACATAAGGGTTTGGATTTGGGCTAGTTGGTTGAACATGTTTAGGGGTTAAAAGCGCTAAAAACGACGGACGAGTAGGAGAGACACACACCACACAGCGCTCTGTGGTGTGTGTCTCTCCTACTCGTCCGTCGTTTTTAGCACTTTTAACCCCTAAACAAGCGTCACATAACCAGATAAAAATACGATCGAGCGGCGCGTGCCGCTCAATGGTAACCCTTTTTGTCCCATTACCTTGGGTCGTCCATGCGGTCGTCCTAGAAATCGTCCTAGACCTCTAGGACGACCTCAATTGTCACGTTACGTGAAAAACAAGCGGCGGCAACGTCGTTGTGCCCGAAAGATGGCCATAAAAATACGTCATCAAGTGTCCATAACGTGATGTCACCAAGTGTCATGATACGACATCAGCGTTATGTCACCACCGGAGCGCCGTGTGCAAAAGGTGTGCTTCGGACTTCATCTGTGCTCGTTGTGTGCTTCGTGCGATGGACTGTGAGGCGACCGGGTCTACGTCTACTTCCTCGACACCGGCAGCAGCGTATACATCTTCGGCGGCTTCCGCAGGCAAACATGGCCGACCACGCAAATACGCCACAACCTCCTCTAGACGTCGTTCCCGACGTCGTCCTAGACGTCCTCCTCTAGGCATCGTTCTTGAGGTCGTCCTGGACGTCGTCCTTAAGGCCGTCCTAGAGGTCGTGTTTGTCGTCGTTCTTAACGTCGTCCTATATTTAGTCATGGACGCCTATCTTCACGTTGTCCTATCCGTCGCCATCTAGCCGTCGTTCTCGACGTCGTCCTTAAGGTCGTCCTATGCGTCGCCCTCTAAGCGTTGTTCTGGACGTCGTCCTTAAAGTCGTGCTAGAGGTCTTCCTAGAGGTCGTACTAGAAGTTGTACTCGACGTCGTCCTTGACGTCGTCCCAGACGTCGTCCTTGAGGTTGTCCTAGAAGCCGTCCTTGACGTCGCCCTCGACTTCGCCCTACAAGTCGTCCTAGACTCCGTATTTGGCTTCGATTTCTATGAAGTCGTCTTCGCCGTCGTCCTACACGTCGTCCCAAACTTCAATATGTGCACAAACCTAACTCGAAAACGTCTCTCCCGCGGGACTACATTGCTTTCGCATTCTTACACGTAAGCGGTCTTAAATGCGCACGCGGAATTCCTTTTATTTTATTTTTCGTTTTGTATATTTTCTATTTCTTTTGAAGCCACCTCGAAATAAGCCCGCATATTCAGACTTTCTTTGAAAAGTTGGATGCGCAGGCTATATATATATAAAAAGAAGTATCTCGGCATTCTAGAATGCAATCGACGAGCCGCAGACGCATTGGACCACCTCTTTTTTTTTCTTGTGTCAGCCGTTTAGAGCTTTTAACCATGGTTCAAAGCGTTCATTAACAACTAGCCTAACAAGCACTTTTACAGCCTCATAATATGGTTTATGTATCTGTTTATTTAATTTCGCGGTGCACCAAACACTCTGTTGGCCTGATAAGGGTGCACCGCGTTCATGTGTTGTGACATAAATAAAAAAAAAACACAATAAAGATGCACAGTAGATAATATTAATGAATTTATTTCCATCAATGGTACATCAATGGAGGAGACCATGGAAAAAAGCTGTGTCGAGACAGCTTGACGAGCCCATGGCCCCCTTATGTAACTGAAACATATGTTGCGAGAAAAGAAAGTGCTACATGAGAAAAATGAAATTAAAAGTACATAAGATATGAAAATGTAACATAAAAATACTATCTGTAGCATTGCCAGAAAGGAAAACATGCAGGATATTTAAAACAAATATCCCGACTAAGAATTTAAAAAAAAAATATAATAAATTAAGTCCCTCAGTAAAGGATGAGCTGTAGTCGCGTAATAAAGAATTTCCGCATAAAATTATGTACCTTAGGTCACCGTCACGATTCATCTACTTGAACCACTAAAATTTCATTAAAAACGTTCAAGGGGTCGCATGCTGTTTAGCTCGGAGAAACAGAATACACAATTGGAGGATAGAGTCATATTTGGTACAGCATTAAAATAGGTGAAGCTTGGGGACGTCAATCAAATCTTGAAAACACTCGTGTAAAAACTTGAGTGTAACTTTGTTTCGAGAGAAAGCGAAGATTCATAATCCATACCATCACATAGATTAAATAAACACGCCTGCGAAAATCATAATTCAGTCCAACAAATTTCTTATTCTTTCACGTTCAGTTGATTGCGTTTTGTTTAAAGCTTGCATATGGTGTTAGAGAAATCCAACATCCACAAGATTAGAGAAATCGATAGAGGTGTAAAAAGCGAAAAAAAACTTAAAATCACGAGTCACTCTAATATATCATTTAAGGTACGGGAACATGTCTTTGTTTAATTTGCACGGTGTTCAGAAAATTTTAGTGGATAATAAAAGTATGCCAAGGTACTGACTGCACGCACCCAATCAAACAATTATTAAACGTGAATCCGAAAGTAATGCTTTCTTTGACTAAACGATATATTGTGTTTTCATCAGGTTAACTAAAAATGAACATGCAATTTACCGTCCAGGTTTGTTTCAAGTAGATTTTTTTTGGGTACGGACGCAAACTGTGGAATGCAAAGTGCGTTCTAAATATATGATTTCTCTCCCTGACAAAGGAAGGCCGTACTCTCACACTTTGAGCACGATAATTCTCAAGCCGGCTTCGACTTTTGTGTTTGTGTTTGTGTAGGACAGATGGACACAATATTCTATCCTAGCTACAGATCTCGATGTCTTCCCCTTTCGTTTCTTGTGGTAAAAGTAGTTATATCATGCTTCTCTGCATGCAGTATAAAATTAAGTTCGTGCCGGGCTGTTCGCAGGCACCTGCAGTTCCATTGCAATATTCTAAGTGGCTATTTATCTTCCACCTGAGTGCGAGCCATAATCATATTAGGCAGTAAATTGTTGATAGAACTGATTCCGTTAAGCGTCAACTGCCTGCAATATGGCATTGAGCTGTTTTTTTTTGTTCTTTTTTAAAGTCTGCTTCCATCATTTTTTGAAACTTGGCGTGTTGTTCTTTTGCAACACCTCTTGCTTCCTAGCTTTGACTGTTGCTGCTAGTTTCCCTAGTAATGCTCGAGGCTTGCTGAGCGGTGCTTGAGGTGTAGGGTTTTGCCTACCGTCGCTCTGATTTTTTGCCGGCTTATGACCCGTGCCTCCGATAGGGGTCGGGTTAGGACCAGTATTGTAAGTTTATTTTCCTCTCTCTCTTTAGCTTGTTTTATTCCAGGCGGTAGCTTATAAGTTGATTGTTTAGGTAATTCATTGCCTCGTCTAAAGTTGTGACCTTTCGTCCCTGTCTATTTGTTTCTGGGGATATCATTTCTCTGTACCCTTATTCTTAAATACGGTTACCTGCGCGAAGAAGGAAGTTGAACGAAATCTTACCTATTGATATGTTGGTTGCCTTTTTGGAGGTACTGGTGACCTACTCCCTCGCATAAGCCTAGACCTGCTGTGACTTATGAATTGAATTCGCGGAAGAGTAAATACTTTTCTGCGAATTCAACAACTACCACTCGCGACCACTTGCGACCAGTTTGGTTATGTTTCTAGGGGTATGGTAGCTGTTGGCCGTTTTTGAGGTTTGCCCCGGCGTTTCTTTTAACCTAGTTTAATGTTGATCCCTTCTATGGCGGGGCATTCGAGATCACTTACAGAGGGATGAGATGATTGGCATTTGCGAGAGTAAAGGCCGCTGCATTTGCGCGTTTCTAATTATTTTCTGCTGCAATGCATGCATCATATGTTTTACGTGGCTATGTTTTGCTATTCTAGGAAGTCTGCTTTCTTTAAAGGTGATCAGGCATGCCCCTTTCTTCCCATATGTTGATCAAGGATTACCTTATGGTAATTCGTTTCAGTGTTCTTAGTGAGTTCTTCAAACTGCTCTCTGGGGTCTGTTTTATAGATAACTCCTCTTGTCATGTCTTGAAGCGGGTTAGAGTAGGCTTGTATTTTGACTACCTCTGTTCCTGTGCTCAAGGACTGTACCTTAAGTAGTTTATTGTAGTGGTCCGGGTTGTACGTGTTTATTATCAGTTGATTGGTTGGGCGAGACCGTGTCTAGGCAAGTTCTTCAGCTCCCTGCCCTACAGTTTGCTTAGCAGTTGTTATTGAATGGTTTTAAGTTAATCTGACGTACGTTTGCTTTGTATCTGGGTCTGAATGTTATTGCGAACCCTTGCTGAATGTGTCTAGGCACAATAGTATTTTTAGAAGGTTTATTGTTCATTGTTATTTCAGTATTGGGAATGCAGTCCTCCTCCATGGTATTATCCTTCTGCATTGGCTCTTGTTCTGTGATTAAGTCGGCTTCGACGCCGGTTTCGTCCTGTCTATGTCTCACAGTTTGAAATACTTTGACATATGTTTTCTTGTAGCTAGTTTGTTCAAGTATAAATTGCCTGCCGCGATATAAAAGAAATAGTAGCACAATGTAATTTTCGATTTTATTTTACTTTACAGTACCTTCGGCTGCGGTTCGGGAACAAGATTGGTCTCACAGCGTGCGCATTGTACTTCTTCATTAGTGTAAGCATTGATTTCATCATTCGTTTTGCAAATATTTTACCAAGGGTCACATTTTTTTGTGTTCTTTATCTTCGCAGCAAACAGTTGGAGCTGTCGCTTTATACGCAGCGTCTGTGGCCATTTCAACTCGTGAGTTATAAAAAAGCGCTTGCACCCAATACTGAATAACTATACCGTTACCCAGAATGCACATTAAAGTTGAATTATGATGGCTTCTTAGATCTTATAGCATTAGGTTAGACCTGTACACAAACATTATCTTATATTATGTGGCATATAATTAATAAGTTATTTTACAACTTTGCATGTGTTTGCTCCTTGTTTCAGTCTTCCCTGTCTCTCTTCTTTGGAGCACCGTGGCAATTGGCGTCGCTGGAACGATATACACAGCTCTGGTAATAAGAATTTTTAATAAGTTCATTACGACTGTGCGGTGATTACTTGTAAAATATAAACGAAATAATTATTCATAATAGACAAATATGAATATCTTGTATCTCCTTCTTTCTTAGAGCACAGGGATGGGAAAATACTTGGAAGAATGTATCAAATACAAATACAAAATACTCCGAGAAAGAAATATTTAATCACATGTACAATCACACTTTCCAAAAAAAAATTAAATCGAAAATAGAAACGCAACAAGTGGTGTTCTACGATTTTACAATAATTTTACAAATACATTTTGGTACCATATATTGAACACTTAGACTTAATTTAACCCAGGGAAAGACCGTGTCTGAATAAAAAGAGCAGCCATCTGGCGCATTGATTTAAGTGTTTTAAATAAAATGTACATCTTCAAAAATAAACGTTATTTGGCATAAAATAGGTGTGTACAACACTTGTTGCGCAAAGCGTAGCAAGTTTATTTTTTATACTCATTGCAAAGAAAAGAGCTAAATTGTGTTTGATTGCAAGGAACAGTTTACAAAACTATATTTGAGCAGAATTTGAAATACAAGCATATAAAATTTTATTTTTGGTGTTCAAATACTATCGACAAATACATATCTAATAGCAGTTAAACACGGCTTATGCTCTCCCGTGCATAACAAAAATACAAACTTGCAGGTTAGTAAAAGACAACGTGAAAGGATTTAAAAGACAAGGTCCAACATTTGTTCATGCTGCCTTATAACGAGAAAAATGTCAGAATGGAAAAAAGGTGCAGGCGAGCTGGTTAAGAAACATAATTGGAAACCCCGAGTAAAGGAAAACTATTTAAAAAAAAACGAACAAGACAGCACAAGCTCTAAAACGCAGCTGGGGTTATGGACACGCCGGCACCAATAAATGCACTTTAAAATGGAAAAAAGTGAAAGAGGGAACTTAAAGGACAGACCGCAACTAAACAAGACCATCAGTCGGACCAACTAAGTATCTCCTCCCCCCCCCCCCCTTCCTCTTCCTGCACCTGGTGCGGAAACACACATACCCAACGAACTGAAAAGCAAGCCCGAGGTCGCTTGACAGGTAGCCTCAGGCTTGTTTTTCAGTTCGCTGGGTATGTGTGTTTCCGCACCAGGTGCAAAGGGGGGGGGGGGGGGGGGGGGTTCGGAGAGGCTTAGCCGGTTCGACTGTTGGCCGCGTTTGATCGTGATTTCTCCATTAAGCTTACTCTTTCCCTGTTCGCTTTCCCGTCTCAAAGTGCATTTATTGCTGCTTCCGTGTCACTAAACTGAGCTGCGTTTGAGAACTTGGGTTGTTTTTTCCGTTTTTTTTTCCTCTTGTCTCAGTGTTTTCAAGATGAAAAACAAATGACGAGTATATAGCGGATATTTAGTCCGTGGTAAGTTGTTTAGAACCAGGTTAAAGTGTAAGAATGCTCAAAATTTGCAAACTCCGGTGAAGAACAGAATGATCAAAAATATATATTTTGAAATATCAGCTCAAGGACGTCATACCCCACTTTGTTTTGAAAATATTCACACAAAATTGAAATTACTTAATTTGTGAAAAAAAAATTACACGACGAAGTGACTGTGGCAGCTGGTCGAAAAATCAAGGCCTATAACATTTTCAGCCACGCTAGACGCCATATGTTGTTGTGCAACTTGTTTTAAGTATATTTTTGAACTATAGCTTAATGACGAAATTGGCCTGTTGGTTAAGCAAATGTGAATGGCACTATATATCGAATTCATATTGTTATCTAAATTAACCGGTGGTTCGTGAATGAAAAGGTTTATATAAACGTCTAAACTCCCCGTGACTCTACCTAAGCATTTATTTTACATGAATTGTTACCCTTGTTACCATGACGACTGGCGTCCTTATTTAATTTGAGAGGAATGCCTTTGTTTTCATTTCGGTGACAGATTATTCCAGTAGACAGTGTCCTTTCTTAGACGATTTATCTCAAACTGGCCTCAGAAGGTTACGCTGAGATTTTTATCAGTCCGTCAAAACACAAGGGAAACTGATTGCTCCTAAATAATTTTGAACAAGTTACTTTTGCTGTAATTTTGTTTTCGCATTATTTGCTCTAAAAACCGCGGGTAGGGTACATTTAACTTGTTGGACTCGACTTAGTGACTTAATTACGAGCTTATTAGAAAGTCATTAGTTAGCAATTACGCATCTTTCGCGTAATAATATTTCTAATTTAACTATATTCGGAGATATGCTCTAGACGAGTTATGGAGCTATGGAGAGCTCAACAAAATATTTGGAGTTTAGTAAATAAGCGGAGATATCACGACCTCTTAACTCCAAGTTCGATTTGTACTCTAAATATTAAATTAGATATCTTTGACGCGAAACTTGAAACACCTCCTGAATTGAAGTTCACTTTCGGTCACCTTTCGAAGGAAACATAAATGACAACATTGAAAAACTATTTTACGGACCTATTAAGAGCTCAATTTAAATAAAAGCAGCTCATTATATTCTTAGATCTCATGTAAAGATTAATATTCAAATCAATTTTAGTTAGTCCGTAGATAAAGGTAAAACGTAAGTCACAAGTACTTTTACGCTACGATTATACGACCCGCAAAATTTACAAAAACATATCCAGTGGTGTTCTATAAGTGTGAAACAGACTCTTCGGCAGAGGAGTGTCACCAAACTTAGATATTCTAAGTTTTTATATTTCGCATCTGTTCTTTATTTATAGGGAGGACTTCGAGGAGTTGTGTGGACAGACTGTGTGCAATCCGTGCTCATCCTCATGGCTCCAATCACAGTGGTCGTAAAAGTAGCCTTCGACGCGCATCGAAAGAACGTCAAGCTACGTCCTTTGAGTGATTTCAACGTGAAGGAGTACTTCATGGAGTAAGTGTGCTTTTAAGAAATCCGACAAGATTACGTTCGCTTTTTAATTATGAAGTTGTGGGGCTCCCAAGTAAGAAAGCTACCTGGGCCAAAATTTGGTTCTTGTCAGTAAATATATCTTAATAAAAATGTCGGCGTCACCTGTCGGACGTCGCGCAAACCTTCTTTCCTATAACGAGAAGAGTAAAGCTATGCTCACTACGTCGTGCATCTCGACCAGAAATGGCTATATGCAGGACGCTAAGGTTATTGTGTTTCGCATAAAAAAACTGGTCAAAACTAGTTTCTGAAGCGGTGGCATAGCGTAGTGGAAAGGTGTGTGCTTTATACGCTACAGACCCGGCTTAATCCGCAGCGTGGGCTTACATTTTTTTTTTCTCTCGAATGTTTCTTCTAACGAATATTTGGCGATATTAACATTCCTTTTTCACAAGTATCCCTGTGAAAAAAAAAACACATGGTGTTGACGAAATTTCGCTGAACTAAATGGTCTGGGACTCCCTTTCGGAAGGTGCAATGGGGGACAGCGGGGTGTAGCCGGCAACCTAACCCTTCCCCACCTGACCCGCTCTGTCGCCGCGAAGCTGCGTTAACGCAGGGTGTGTGTGTGTGTGTATGTGTGTGTGTATGTGTGTGTGTGCGTGCGCGCGCGTGTGTGCGTGTGTGTCTGTGTGTGTCTGCGTGTGCGTGCGTGTGTGTGTGGGGGGGGATTAACACGCTTCACAGTTATACACGCGCCATCCGAAAAGGGTTACCTTAATGGCACGAGCTCACCGCGTCGTGAGTTTAGCCATTTCCGTTCGAGATGAAGATTGTGGGATTCGACTTACCTCACTGCACCGCGAGGTCGATCCCACTCCGTAGCACGATGTTGAGGATTGCTACGGCCGGGTCCGTCCGGAGGCTGCCGTAGACTCCGAGGAGAGGAATCACTCCGAAAACGCAAAGGTACTGAAGAAGCGGGTTTATTAGGCTCCTGTGCCACCACGCTGTGCCCGTCGGCAAAACTAATAAATAAAAGGAACGGTAAAGTGTCGGCGCTGTCGTATTAGACAGATTCACCTGGAGGGGACCCCCGCTGCCGTATTAGGCAGATTCGTGGGACAAAGGGGAAGCACAAAAAAGAAAGAAGCTCACGACGAGAGCTTCCCCCAAAAACGAGAGTCAGGGCCGCCGTTCGCGGGCCGCTTATCTAGCCAGCGGAAAGTGGACGCGCCCGGGGTAGGTAGTGTGGCTTATCCCGCAGATGGGCCGCGTCCACAATCATTTCCGAAGGGTGCGCCGGAGGCACTTTCACCCAAAAGGGCGAGGGAAGACACGCCCTCTTCGAGGAATGCGGCCTTACCCCCGTATCCGGGATGACGTCGCCATAACGCTCCCACGGCCTGCTTGTGCTAGGCCTAGATAGGGAGACGGGGAACACGTGGCTCCCACACTCCTCCCCCCTTAAGGCTAAGGTAGGACTAAAAACAAAATTTGCCTACCGACTCTCAAACAAAAAGAAAAGAAACCAAAAGAAAAAAAACTACCGCGTCCGGTACCGACCCCACATGCTGGGGCTAACAAATATGGCGTCTTCGGTGGCGTCCCTGCGTTGGAATGGGGTGCTCACCGAAGCCGCTAGCGGAGGAGCTGCTCTTCCGGGCGAAGGAGCTGGGCGCCGTCTCCGTCCAGGTCCATTAGCCCGGCGTCCAGGTCCCCGGCAGGACCCCCCAGAAGGTCCAAGGCCGGCGCGGCGCCCTGGTCCGCCGCCCGCAGGTGGTCGAGTACGATGGGGCCCACGGCGGCCGGTGGACGGGGAGCCCTTGCCAAGATGGCCGCCGCGAACCCCGGGTTCCAGCCCATGCGGTCTACCACCAAGGCGACCGCATTGGCGCCGCGGAGGGAAGCAGCCGTCATCCGCTCCCCGTGGCTCAGGGACCGCAGGTGGGACCGGTGGACGAACAAGGACCCGCAACCGCGGCAGAAACGGGAGTCGGGAGCGGGCTCCAGACAGGCCCCCCCGGCCTCCTCGTCGAGGATGGAGAGGGTCCTGCCGCGGAAGGGCTCCATCACCTGTCCCGCCGGCGTCCTGGACAGCACACGAGGCTGCTCCCCCCACGGGTCGGCCGACACGAAGACCAAAGGCCTCGCCGTCCCCTCCTGCGAAGTCCATGTGGCCACGTGGCGGACCTCCACGACGTCCTCATGGCGACGACCGGCCCCGGCCCGCGAGTAGGGCAGACGATCCCGGCGCGCTCCTGCGCGGCCCACCACGCGCGGCCAGTGGTTTGGTGGTGGTTGGGACATCCTGGCTTGATGGCAGGGCTGGCTGGCAGACAACTGGAGAATGACCCTTCGGCCTGTGGTTGCCTCCGAAGAAAACTCGTAGGAAACCCCTGGCGGGACACCGGAGAGTCTCGGGTGGCCAAACTGACCAATGGCTGCCTGCCTACCCTTTCCCACGGACCCCGCAGTATGGAGGGGAATCTCCCTACGGGATGATCCGGCAGCGAACATTGAGGTGTCCTATTTAGGTCACCGCTTGCCAACAACAATGGTGGCTGACGCGTTCGCGAAGGCAGCTGGTGCATTCCTTATCTTTGCACTCCTCTTAATGTGACATTTCGCCACTTATTGGGCTGCCTTTGCGAATACTTCGGATATTAGGTTTTCCGAGTTCGCAGATTGTAACGAGGCGCCTGTTGCTCCTCGCTGGCGTTGTCTCGCGTTTTGCGCGCCTGCAGCCGCGGGGCCTGTGTTTGTTCGTCCCCCGTTTTTCCTCTTCCATGGTAGGGTTTTAGATCGCAGACATGCACCGGCCCGCCGACTTTTCTCGAGTCTTTCTCAGTCAGCTTGTACACGAGTGGCGAGAGTATTTCGTGCACCCGGTACGGGCCCAACCACTTTGGTGCCAGCGAAGCAGAAAAGCCTTTGCTGGCATCGCTCAAAACGTGGTTTCGTCTGAGCACGAGATCACCAGCTTCGTAGCGGAGATCTCGGCGAGAGCGGTCATACTGAGCTTTTTGTTTAGCTCGCGCTACCCCGAGATTGCGACGGGCCTCCGAGAAGGCTTCCGTCATCCGAGTTTGTAGCGAGCGCGCGTGTTCAGTCTGTGTAGACTGCGCGTCGTTCACCCCGGCGTTTGCCCTTAGGACACGGTCCATGGGATTCGGCAACTCCCTACCGAATGTGAGGAAGGCGGGTGTGAAGCCTGTCGATCGATTGACCGTGGATCGAAGTGCGAACCCGATCTCAGGGATATAGGCGTCCCAGTCGCGGTGCTTTTCGGCGAATGCTGCCAGCATGGGTTTGATGTTTCGGTTACATCGCTCTGTTATGTTCGCCTGCGGGTGGTAGGGTGTGGTCGTTTTGTGCTTGATGCCCAGAGCTTTGCAAGCGTCCCCAAATACCTTCCCGACGAAGTAGCTCGCTCGATCTGTTAAAAGAGCTTCGGCGAACCCGAATCGTGTGAACACCTCCATGAGCTTTTCCGTGATTGCTCGGGCTGTCAACTTTCGTAGCGGGAACAGTTCCACCCATTTGCTGAAGTGGTCAGTGACAACCAGCAAATACTGGTGTCCTTTGGGGCTCCTCGGTAAAGGGCCGACCACGTCGCAAGCGGCCAAAGACCATGGTTCCTGGCTCTGGATGGACTGCATAAGGCCCGGCGGCTTGCCGCCTCTTGGTTTGAAGCTTTGGCAGGTGTGGCACGTGCGGGCGTAGCGGAATACGTCCCTTTTCATGCCCGGCCAGGTTGCGACACGGCATAACTTCGTATAAGTCTTAGAGCCGCTCGCGTGTCCGGCCAAGTGCGAGTCGTGATAGTAACGCATTACTGCGCACCTCAGACTTTTTGGCACTACTACCTTGAAAACCTCGTCTGTGTCCTTCTCAGATGGGATATACTTTAGCAGGAGACCGTCGGCATTCAGCAGAAATTGATCCAGCGTGTCAGTATCAGTACAAGATACATCCCGACACTCGGCGTTGACTGCAACACCAGCAGTCCTACGCACGGCGGACGCGCCGCCCGACTCCACAGAGTCCGACTCTCTCGAGAGCCCGTCGATCACCTTTCGACAAAACGGATCATTCTGCTGAGCTTTCAGTAGCTCTTCTTTGCTGAACACGATCCCCACCGCGCTCACTGCGTCTATGTGGTTCACGGTCTCGTCCGAGGAGGTCAGGGATGCTGCCTCCCCTTGGGACTGTTTTTCGGCTTCGCATGGCATAGAGTTTGCCGTTGGCTCGGCCTGTTGACTCGCGGAAAGTTTGGTACAGTCTACGGGTGCTCGCGACAGTGCATCGGCCACCACGTTTGAACTGCCTTTCTTGTACCGCACGACATAGTCATATTTCTGCAGTAGCAAGGCCCATCTCGCTAACCGTCCTGCGGGTTCGCGAAGTCTGGACAGCCATATCAGGCTCTGGTGATCTGTTTCGATCACGAAGGTGGTCCCGTCGACGTAAATGTCGAAGCGCTTTAAGGCAAAAACAATGGCCAAGCACTCTTGCTCACAGGTGCTGTAGTTCACCTCTGCCGGCACCAGCGAGCGGCTAGCGAAAGCCACCGGTCCTAGCACACCCTCGTGCTCTTGGAGCAGGACCGCTCCCAGGCCCAGTTTGCTCGCGTCCGTTTGGATCACGAAGGCTCGCGGAGTCGGGAAGCTTTAGTTCCGCGGTGTCCGCGAGAGCTTTCGAAGTGCAGCGGAAAGCTGCCTCCTGCTCGGGACCCCAACTCCAGCTCACGGCTTTTCTGAGTAGCCGCGTGAGTGGCGCTTGAAGTGACGCGCAGTTTGGGATGAATTGGCGGTAAAAGTTCACCATTCCCAAATAACGACGGAGCGAGCTTACGTCCGTCGGCGCAGGAAACTCCCGGATAGCTTGTAGCTTCTCGGGATTCGGCGCAATGCGCCCGCAATCGAGCGTGAAACCAAGCAAGTTGATGCGGGCTTCTGCTATTTGGGCCTTTTCCGGGTTCAGTGTCATCCCCGCTGCCTTTAGCCTATCCAACTCAT